CCGTGTCGTGTGTCAGCCTTCGGCCAACCACTGCGGGCAGCCCCTGCCCTGGAACTCCTGGGCCTGTCCTCACGCCCCAGGCAGAGCCTCCCCAGGCCCCTCCCCCAAGGCCCCTCCTGCGGCCTCAAGATCTGGGTGCTGTGACGTCACGGTACCACCTGCTCGGGTCCCTCCTGACAAGTGGGTACCTGTGAGGATGGCGGCTGAAGGGACTTGGGGTGGCCTGTGCCAGGAGCCCGCAGCCCAGCCCAGCCTTGGGCGTCTGTCTGCTTCAGGTCACTGCCGGCTCCCTCCGAGAGGCCACTCTGGGACACCTCCATCAGGGCTCCCAGCTGCCTCGAGGCCTTCCGGGACCCGCAGTACCAGGGTCTCTTCCAGCACCTGCTGCGCCCCAAAGCCAGCGGCACCACTGAGAGGTAGGGGGGGCCCGTGGACTGGGGAACCGCCAGCAGCTCAGTGAGCCAGGCGATGCCTCCCAGGGTGCGAGTCGCTGCTGGGCCTGGAGTTGGGGCCTGGGGTTGAGGCCTGGGTGCTTCACGCCTGAGACAATGACTGTACCCCGCCGTGAGCCGCTGTCACCACCACTGCGAGGGGCCAGCTCCTGGGTTGCATGTCTGCTGGGCGCAGAGCCTTGGATCCAGTCCTCGTAACCCCATGAGGCTGGTGCTCTGAGCACTCCACTCCATTTTACAGATGGAGAAACTGAGGCTCAGCACACCTCATGAAGGGGAGGGCCAGGGTGAGCACGTAGGCCTTCCTGCCTCAGCCCCACACCAGCCTTTTTGCCCCTTGCTCTACGGTCCCAGGGTCGCTGATGTCTCAGGGTCTCCCGGAACCTGTGGGAGCAGGTCCTGAGAAGCGAGAGGGCGAGGCAGGAGGGACATGATAGCACCAGAGGAAGCATGGCGTCCGGCCCCTCCCCTCCCCTCGCTGGCAGGCACCAGCCTGGGGGCTGTTCTGGTTTATGTGTCGGAGCGTGGCACAGTTGCCGGGCGGGGGTGGGCAGGTGCTCACGGGCCGCGCTGTGTCTCCAGGTTGACACCACTGTACCAGCTACTGCAGCCCATGGCTAGCTGCGCCCGCGTGGCCCAGTGTGCCGAGGCCGTGCCCACCCTACTCCAGGTGTTCTTCTCAGCAGTGACCCAGGTGAGCCTGCTGCCCGGGTCCCATTCCCATGGGCCTCAGGCAAGCCTGAGGGACCAGAGGGGCAGCCTAGGGCCAGGACCGCGGAGTTGCCCTTGACCTCTGCAGAAGGGCTGATCCCGTGGTGCCGGCGTCCGCGGCCGTTCGGAGGGTCCGGAGAGTCCCAGGGAGAGGGCTGCACAAGCCACGGCCCAGCCAGGCCCGGTCTCCCCAGAAGGGGCGAATGAGCGGCCCTGGGGCCAGCGACACAGCTGGGGCTGGAGCAGTTTGTCCCGAGGGTCCTGGCCACCATCGGTGGCTTCAGGGGTCTGCCTCCGAAGCCACAGTACAGGCCCACGGGCTGGTGGCTCCCCCTTCGGCCACACCTGGGGGGCTCTGCAGACTTGACACCTAGCCTCGGGCAGGTCCCCGAAGGTGGTGGCGGGCCACGGGGCTGGGTGCAGGCGGGGATGGGGCGCATCTCAGCTGACCGAGGGAGGCTGTGCCCTGGCCTGGCGATACAGAATCAGCAGAGAAAGTAGCAGTTCTTCCGCGGGCCCGCGTGGCCCTGTCTCGGCGGGGCTTCCTGCCTTCCGGCCAGTCCTCCCCCAGGGCCTGATGCTGCTGCTCAGTCTCCCTGAGTGGGGGGGAGGGCGGCCCGGGAGGGCGGGGTTGGGAGTTCTGGCTCCTCCCTGCCTCCCGCCTCTTGCCCCGAGGGTGAGGCTGGCGGCACGGAAGCTGGCCCCTGGGACTGAGCCGTCTCCACTCTTGGCCCCAGGTCGCCGATGGAGCTCTGACCAACCAGCTGGTGCTGCAGCTCCTGGAGAGGAGCAACACTCTCTTCCGTGTCCCGCAGTACGAGGCCCGTGTGCACAGGTGGGTACCCCCACGCGCTGTCGGGCTACCACCGCAGCCCTGGGCGAGTGCCCCGACGCCTGCACTGAGCCGGCCAGTGCAGCTTGGGTTTCTCAGCCTCCCGTTCAGGGGCTGCAGCTCCACCCCGGAGCTGGGCCTCCGCAGCCTGGGTCCGCGTCCCCACCCTCAGCCCTGGGCCCAGCCCTGGGCACTTCTCCGTCCCACTGGGAAATGCCCCCGGCTTCCGTCCTCAGCCTGTTGTCTTCATTGCGGGGGCCCGAGTCTCTCGCCCCAGGGCCGTTCTCAGAGGGCCCGTCACATGCAGGCTTGTCCTCCCTCCGCCTCAGCCTGGGGCCCAGGCCCTGTGGCCCCGGCCTTCTCCCAGCAGGCGGAGATGCTCCTCCAGGGAGGGAGGATCCACATCTTCTGGCTTGAAGGCGCGGCCTTTCCCAGCCGCTCTGATGCCTCCTGTTCCCCTCCAGTCCCTTGGCCTGCAGGGGGGCTCTGGAGGGCTGGGGCGTCCTGGGAGGGAGACCTGGGTTCTGCACAGAGCCCGCTGGTGTCTGGCTCTCCGGCAGGGTGCTGAGCTCCCAGTTCCTAGCGCTGTGTAAGCTGAAGCCCTCCCTGGTGGTAGAGCTGGCAAGGGAGCTCCTGGAGTTCCTGGGCGGCGTCAGCGCTGTCTGCAGCCGGGCCGGCATGGTCACTGCCATGGTAAGGCCAGGGACTGCCTTTCCCAGCGCTCCCGACCGGGAGGCCTGGTGGGGCTGAGCCTCTGT